CCCAGGCCCTTCCGGACTCTTCCAGAATTGCTCATTAAGATTCTGAAAAGGGGGAGGGGGGTGCAGCTAGGAAAAGGTTGCCGGAAGGGAGAAGAGGAGGGGAGGAGGGGGGATTTGCCCTCTGTGTCTTTCTCTCTCTGAGAATCTCCCATCACCAAACATGGAGGGGGTGGGGGGGGGGGGGCCATCCTCCAGCGGGTCTTCTGACATACTTGAGGGGGAGAACGGGGGTAGGTGGTTTGAAATACTTAAATGATGGTCGGGTGACCTCCGTGCAACTTCAGGGACTGCCTCCCTCGGGAAGGTGACCGGGATGGGGAGCCGGGAGGGAATGAGGCATAGAGGACAGGAGGAGAGACACCCAGGACCACGGCAGCAGCAATCACCAGAAGGATTTTCCAGCTCACGACAGCAGTCCTCAACTCCTGACACCACCCTCTCCCCCAACGACCCCTTCCCCATCGCCCCTCCCCCGCCAGAAGCCGGAGGACTCACCCCAACCCCTGTCAGTCCAGTGCCCTAACTCTGCCCTCACTCTTTGCCACTTTCCCAAGCCTGAAGTCTCTATCCAGGGAGGGGGATGGGAGAGGTGTTTAAAGAACAGATCTCACTGACATTAGAATTCATCTGTGTCTCCAGCACACGCACGCTGACAGTTTTGCAGTCATGGCAAGGCAGGTCTACAAGAGATGGACGGTACTTATGGTTGTGTTATTGAGGGAGGGGTTGCTTTTTTTTTTTTTTTTTTTCCAAGAGACTCTAAACAAGTGAAGGGGGAAGGAGGTAGCAATAGCGATTTCCACCAGGACTGCAAATCAAGAATGCCCCAGATGCCAATGTCTGTCTCCAGATGTTGATGATAAGGATTTGGACCAGTTACCTTGGCAGGGTCAGAACTGCAGCAGCTTAACCAGGTGAGTCGTCGGGGATTTTAAAGAAGCCGAAGCCGGTTTCTTCGGCTACGAAAGTCTACAGAACCCCCATGCAGGAACATTGCACATCTTACACACGCCTCCTTTAACTGGGCTCCCGCGACCTCAGCAGGCGAGGGGGTGCTGGCCGGCCCGCCGGTGGCAAGGGCACGGCCACCCGCTCTGCCCCCGCGGGCGCGGGGCCGGCCTGGCCCCCGGGGTCCGCGTCGCGAGCGGCTGTGCACTCACCGAGCCGGGCTGCGAGGGGCAGAGGGGCGCCCGCGGCTAGCCGGAGCGCCGAGGCGCCTCCCTTTTCTCTTGGTAGCGTCGGTCCGCACTCCCTGTGACCCAGGACGTCATGATGCCTGTCTGTTTTCTCAATGATAACTTGGCAGAAGAAGACAGAGGCTGCCAGGTTCTCCTCGGGTGGTTACTTGGTATGTGCACGTTTCTGTTTGCATGCGTTTCTCGCTCCCTTTTTAAAAATAAATATCTGTGTTTAAAAAAAAAAATCCCCGGCACTGTCATGATTTGATTGCATTACTGCGTTGGCATCACTGACGCCTCTGGGTGTGTGTGTCTGTGTGTGTCTGTGCGTGTGGGGTTTTTTGCCCCTTTAAATCCTGCTGCTGCTGCCGCCGCCGCCGCCGCCGCAGCCGCTGCAAACGGAAAGCAAGCATGCGTTCATCTTTTGTCTTTCATTTTACCTTCAGGGTGACATTCAGTGCCAACTGCTCCCTTTTGACCGTCGCCAATCCCCGCCTGGGCAAAATAAATTTTCAAAACGTGGGGGGAGGGGAAGGAACAGCCCCTCGGCCCGAGCGCGGGGCTCTCGATTCCTTCCGCTAGCGGACCCCCAGCCGCACCCGACCCACCTCCCGCCCCTGAAAAACCATTTTCCCGTCTACCCACCGGGCCCAGGCAGAGAACTGGCACCGAGACAGCGAGGAGCATCCACCCCGGCCCAGACACTCATGTTCGCGGCTCGCACTTGCTGACTCGCATCTCAGTTGCCTTCTGAGTGTGTAGGCCTCTCACAACTGGAGCTATTTTTGTCTCCCAGAGATGTTCTTTAAAGCCTTTTAAAAATGGGAAGGGGGCAGGGAAGAAAGAGAGGGAGAGAGAGAGAGAGACAGAATAAAAGCCCAAGCCCCTTCTTTGAGGGGGCCCTGCAGACACATCAGGAAGTCTGGGGGGCTCCTGGCACCTGACCCACCAGGGGAGTTTGAAAGGGCAGAAAGGATAACTAGGTTTTCATCTGAATTCTTCTACAACAGCAGGAGAACTTTGTCTTACGGCAAAGATATTGTTGCCGGCTTTCCACTGCATTTGTCATTTTTTATAATTACGCTCTCTGGAATCCGTAGGAAAGGTCTCCACAATGACCCTTAATATTTATTTCTGCAAACATGAGAATGTATTTTAGATGGTGTGGCCACGTGACCGGTACAGCACAGAGCAGGTCTTTTTATAATATTTAGTTTCTGTCATTTGTACACGGGTCTGTTCTACGTGGCTTCTATTAATCATAACATTGCACATATCAATCACCATATGCGCATTACTGAAAAATAAAAATCCAGTGCCAGGTTTGGCAAATACTTGGCCCTTCTTTATCGTTAATTCCCCGTCTGGAGTAGAAGAATGGGCTTGGGAATTTTTTTCCATAGGCTTCTTTTTTGTTGACCTTGGTCACCATCATGGATTGGTAAAGTCACTATTCCCACGGATTCCCAATCCCAAAGATGACAGCAGGAGCCAAGGTTGCAAAAAAAATAAAGCGTGGGAGAGAGTGTCAAATCTGAAAAGCAAAGCTGGTGGGGAGAAAAACTTTTGATCTCATCCAAGATAATCTGCAGCTGCTCTAGGTTTGAGACTAGTTTGCCTGCTTGAGAGGTTGGCTACACTTGATGAAAATAACCGGTGACTTGTTAGGTCTTTTCCCTTTTTTAGTCTTTTCCCTCTAGAGTCATATGCCAAGAATCACTAAGCAAATTCCATAGGGAGGGTACTGCAATTCTGCAAAGATCAGACAATCAGAATCGGAGAAGAACCTCACCAAAGTAGACCCAAGAGGGTCTGAGGACTATTGACCAGCAGACAGATCCCCAAACTTGACTGGGGTGCTGCTTCACCCTTAACAATTGGACACAGCCCTCTGGCTCGGCTTATCGGTCTCCTTGCAATGCCAGAACAATGAACTGGTGCAGTCTTGTCTGGTGCGTAGAGGGCATCAGTGCCAAGGAAGGCAAGGGCCTATTTGTAGTGAGCGTCTATTGATGTTATTGGTAACTTTTTAGCATACTGTTCAAGAGAGGCTCGTTAATATTCAAGCTACCAACCTGGTTCTCCAGCTTTATTACTTATTAGCCTTAGAACGGGACCTTTAAAGCCTCACTGGCAAAAAAAAAAAAAAAAAAGAACCAAACCAAAATATATAACTATAATTAATTCCTTTAAAATCCCGTTTTTTTTTTTTTTTTTTTTTGCCCGGACAAATGCCTTCCACGCTAGTTGCCACCAATCAACATGCCACTGCAGGCAGCCAGGGGGTGAGATGTTTGAGCAATGAGCAAAGGGGTAGATCTAGGCAGAGGACTCCAGTTGGAATAGATCCTTCCTAAACCGGATTCTCTTAAGCCACCTCTGGCTAAGAGCTGCTCTCTGTTGTTTATTCAGACTACGTTCAAGTCTTTACTTTCTGGCTTCACCCTAAATATAATAGTTAATGTTGTTGTAGCATGTTCAGCTTAACTTTCCAACCAAACCAAAGGGCAAGACAAAAATGCTTACTAAGATGGATGGAATGCATAAAAGTCGTGGTCCTAAACTTCGCTAGTGTTTAGAATTTGCCAATCCAATTAAATCTTCTCAACAAAAACATGAGAGAAGGATTATAGGTATCCTCATTTTACCCCCAAAAAACTGAGGCACAGAGAAGTTAAGTAATCCGTCCAGCCTTACCCAGCTGGGATCCAAATTCAAGTGCCCTGAGCCCTCACTATCAAGCTCTTTACCTGTTCAACTTCATTCAACCTCCTCACATCTTGCACCCATGGTTCAGTCAGGCTGCATAACCACTGCCCACCTCACACCCTTTGTTAACCCCAACGTCACTGCTCAAGCATTCAGTGCCCCCTTCTGCTTCTTTGCTATTCAAGTTCTATGTATTGGTCAAGGCCAAGTTCAAGTCCTACTTTGCCCACAAGCCATTATTTACTATTAGTGGGTGTATTGATCATTCTCTCTCTGTTCTACGCTGTTCACTTCTATGTATGACATCACTATTCTCCGTTTCTGGGTTTATTTTTTCATCTCTTCTTCATCTCCCGATTCCTTTCTAACAGCATTATGCATTTTTTCCCTGCTTCTTCCGGTTTGCCTAAGTACAACACTGGCTGTCATTAAATAGCTTCTGATGTACTAATTGACACAAAACTGCCCTTTGGAGAGCTAAGATGTCACTTCAATCTGACAGAAGCTGGAAGTTTTTTATGTAGCAAAAGTTTTATCCTTTTAACTGAAAACATTGCAAACTTGTTTCTCTATACTTCAGATAGTCCCTAGAAAACAGCTAAGTAAAATCAGAGGTGAAATTCTTTAATTGGAGAAGCATATTATGATGAGGTAGAATTTAATGAGTGTGTGTGGGGGGGGTGGACAAAACTTAATCATTTTTAGCCATTATGAGCCTCTCTCTGCTATATTTTGAATTTTCTGAGTGTCAGATTAATTTCTCTGTTTAGAAAGATAGGAAAATAAGTGAGAATCACTTATCAGACCTGTGATCTCTTATTGCATCTGCTACTGACTGGCTGTGTGTAACTTCTGGCAAATTAATAACTCTGGGCCTCAGTTTCTCTCTTGCACAAGAAGAGATTTAATCAGTCTCCAAAGTCTGTCCAACTCTAAGCTTCTACAAATCTGAAACAGGATGTGGGAGAGAATGAAAGAGAGGGCTCAGCCTAGGAACCCTGGTTTTTTTTTTCTTTTTCTTTTTTTGGAGGATATAAAAAATATGCTAAGGAGCTCAGGTAAAGTTAATAAAGATCATATTTCTAATTTCTGAGTATACTTAAGGATAGCTCAGGAAAAAAATCCATATACAAAAAAATGTTCAAACTTATATTTTAAAAGATAGTCTCTGGGTGCCTGGGTAGCTCAGTCGGCTAGGCGTCCGACTTTGGCCCAGGTCATGATCCCGTGTTTTGTGGGTTCAAGCCTGGCATCAGGCTCTGTGCTGACAGCTTGGAGCCTGGAGCCTGTTTCAGATTCTGTGTCTCCCTGTCTCTCTGCCCCTCCCCTGCTTGCACTCTGTCTCTCTGTCTCCCCAAAATAAAAATAACCATTTTTTTAAAAATTTTAAGATAGTCTCTTTTATATGAGATAAAATAATTAACTAAGTATACCAATAGCCCACCCTATCAGCTAGAATGTTATTAATTATCATTCATGCTTGCTTATAACTTTCTTTCTAACACAGTCGTATTGTTTTACAGATCTTATTTGATATGAATGCATTTTTTTGCCTGGATGCCTTAATCTCCTGGTTAGCTTGAATTAAATCATGAAGTTAGTTAAAGAGCACAGGTTTACAGTGAAGAGACTCAGGGGTTAGAACCAGAGCAGGATCACCTACATATTTCTTCATTGCAACTAACTCTGGGAAAGCCTTTCTCCGCGTTCCTTTCCTTATTTATCTCTATTGAATACTTATAATTCCTTGACCCTCTCCAGTTTTTGTTAGGATAAAATGAAATAGCAGAAGAGAAAGCACTCTTCCAACATAACAAAATATTATCATGGCAGATGGACCATATTTTACACCAGAGTTGATTTTCTAAAAAATTTTACAAAGTTAATAGAAACTAAGGTCCCCTAGCTGAGAATCTCAGTTAACTTCTATTTACTACTTATAGGACTTCACAAAGGTCTATAGCTAGCTGAAGGAAGAATCAGGATGATTGTGCAGAAATCACTTTGTCCCAGGCCACGCTCAAGGCCTGGTACACACCGTGGGAAAATAGTACAGCCAATTGCAACAACCAGGACCAGGGTAATTAGGATACCTATTTAAAATAAATTTATACCATGCGTCTCTCATGAAAAAAATAAAAACGTTTGCATGAGGCAAGGGCGCTCAAGCCAGACTGCATGATAGCTCTAGTCTAGGGATCCATGGACCGATCAAGTCTTAAGGTTGTAGGCAAAGTATGTGTATGGGTATGTGGGTGCACAAGTGCGCGGGCAAGCATGCCTGCAAGTGACGCCATTATTCTCAAGAAAAGGCGGATAACTTTCATCACATTCTGAGGAGGGATCATGACTCCAGAAAGGTTAAGAACCACTGAGGTAAGAATAGTTTATTTTAAAACTGAACTTAAGGAGAATAGTACATTCCTTTAAGCCGAATGCTGTGCTGACTATACCACGGGCAATGTATTAATAATCACCTGTGTTCAGAATGATGGCCTTGAGACCCAATAAAAGCTTCAATCATCAAAGAAATTTATTGTCAGGGTATTTTACGTAACTTACACAGGACAATGTATCGGCCTTTTAGAAAGATTTGAATATGAAATAAAATAAGACAAGGCTTTTGGTTTTGTTTAAGCTGGTTGGACCATTCTCTGTGTGCTAAGAAAGATGAACCGAGCACAGGAAAATACTCATTGTTTCTAGGAATACGGGTAAGGTCCACTCAGCTGTGGAGTGGCAAAAAATGAGGGTCTGAAACAGAATTGTGGCAGTGAGGTGGCTTGGAGGGATATTTGGCAGGGATCTGGAATCGACAGACTGAATTATCTGGCTTGGACAACTAAATTAATGGTAGCATGTTAAAGAGGTACAAATTAAGCTTATGCTAAGAAAATAATGAATTTGGTTTGGGATATGTTAGGTTTAAAGGCCTGTGAAATAGCCAGATTCCACTGGCCTTGGGAAAGATTTAGAAGAAATCTGTGGCTGGAGAAATTTCTTTGGGAATTATTAGTGAATGGGCAGTGGTATGAACTGGTAATAAGATGGGGGTGGAGAGGGAGGATTAGGAATGCAAATGACTTAGGAGCATCTGAAATAAAATTGCATTTATTTGAATAAAATCTAATTTGTGAAATATGAAATCATATAATACCCAAGGCTAAATAGTGTTGGTGATTTTAAATGTTTATACACACCTGTATTCGTACCATAAATCTCTGAATAGGACTATACATCTCAGATTTTATTTTACACCTAGGGCTTTCTGGAGTTCTTCATTTCAAGGCTCTGTTTTTCATTCGAGATAGTGCATTCGCTGCCTGGGTTCAGAAGGGAGTAAGACTCTTCTTTGGCAACCAGGTTCAACTGGAAAAATCATCAAGATGTCACCTGATGCCGCATGTTACAACTATGTTCTCAGCTATGTGACCCTGCCAGTTGTTGAACCAGCAGAGGTAACTCAGCGTCATGGAAAGAACACTTAAACTTGGAGTCAGAACACTTGATTGGGAGTCTAATTTCTGCCTCTTACTGCTGTTGTGATCCTGGGAAAGTCATTCAACTGCTTCCACCCTGGATTTCCTCCTTGGCAACTGCCCTCGGGGAATGATCCCTCCGGCACTGGTGTCCTCGTGACTACCAGTTGGGTAGAGTGAGGAAACCCAACCACATGCTTCAAAATTCCCCTCCTGGATGAACTCTTCTAGGATGTCCTCTCCCACTCTCCTCTCTGTGACAGCCCAGTGGGCCCCACCACCCCTCTCCCCCACCTCCATCAACACACTTCCATGACTATACTCACCTTACTTGAATTATTGTTCATATGTCTGCCTTTGCTGCTCAGTGGTAACTGCCTTCAGTGTAACAGAGATTTTAGTTATCTTTTATTCCTAGTGCCTAACACACAGTAGGTGCTCCACGAATGTTAAATGAATAAACTGTTATCAGGGGAGAGCATGTGCCGACATCTGTTCCTATTCCATGAAAATTCTTTAGATAATCTGAGAAGTGGAAAAGCAGGGCCAGCCTTACCCATAGGCCATAAACTGTACTATACCAGTGCTTTGCTCAGAAGGGGCCTCTCTCTGGTAAAACTCCTGCATATACTGCTTATTATGCTACTTTTATGAATACAATTATTATAAGGGAATAAACTAGGCCATTTCCTGGTCATATTTAAACATAAAATGCAAAACTGCGCTTCCCTCCAAAAAACACATCAACACTGACTTTGTTTGATGCTAACACATAAATGCTGGGTACCAGATTTTTCCAGAGAGCTAAGGTGAAGGAAGATAAAGCGGGTGGGAGACAGCCCTGGGGACAGGAAGGAGGGCTGAATGGCTATCACAGAGTGGCGGAAACAACCCAGAACACAGAACCGAAGGTCCTGTCTCAAATTCCTGGAGAATGATCTTAAGCTCTCTGTGATCAGTTACTGTGTCTTTAAAATGGAATCATAATGTTTCAGTAACAGAGTGACCAAGGGGATTGAATGACATAATGTATAAAAGGCCCTGATGCCCTGTCAAAACAGGTGCCTGATAAAAGTAAATTTTCCTCCCTCCCTTTCTTCCTCCCTGTCTGTTTACCCTTCCAGAAGAAAAAGGAACCAAATTCACTGATTCACAACCATGATCAACTTGTAACCTTTATTCTCGTCCAGGCTACTAAAAAAGAATCACAAGGGTTAACTTATACCAGTAGTCTCCAAACTTTGGGGCACACTGGATTCACGCCGGAGCTTTAAACAATCTTGATTCTCAATTTGTACCCCACAGCAATTACATCAGAACGTCTGAGGGTTGGAGTCAGGTAATGGTATATATTTTTTAAACCCTAAGTGATCCCGGCAGACACCAATGTTTGGGAACCACCGGCTAATGCAGAGAAGTGGGCCTTTGGCCAGTGAGTTAGTCTAATTGGAGCCTGATGATGCTAATAAGGCACAAGTTTGGATTTGGGTTCAGGAGAGCAGCTCTTTACTCCTCCACAGACCCAGGATTCTTGCTCCTTCTCCTTCAACCCTCTTTGGCAAGCTCTTTGTAAAAGAACCCTAGACAGGGTAGTAACAGGAGACCGACTCATCCCAAGTACCAAAAAAGCAAATAGAAAAGCACATAAGACACCTGTATGTGTAGTACTTTACAATTGAGAAAGTGCTTTAACCCCTGATTTGATTTAATCTTCAACTTTGCACAGGTGGTATTATCATGCCCAATTTACGGATGATGAAACCAAAACCAAGAGAAGTTCGACTCGCTCAGGGAAAAGTGGCAGATTCAGGTCTCACGCTTATTCCAGAATGGATGCAATTTTCCTGGACCATGCAGCTCCAGAAACCTTACTGGTTGGCGGGGTCATATCCACATTGGAAGTATGGCTCAGAGCTATGGTCTAGCCACTCTGCCATGTTAGGAAAGGAGGCAAGAAGGGAGGGAGGGAAAGAAGGAGGGAGGAAGAAAAATATTTTAAATATGTTTGAATGAAATAGGTTTCCTCTCCAGCAGGCTTTTCAAATTATTCAATATGCTAACAAGCAAGCACTGTAAATATCTAGAAATTATTATTTCCCAACTTATTGGACAGTGAAACCCTTTTTAAACTCAGCATTTCTTAGGACTAATGTCCCATGGGGGGCCATTAATAGCTGCTTTCCTCACCTCCCCCAACATCTGCTGAGTGTCACCCCTTCAGAGAGGATGCTCCCCGCCCCCACCAAACCCCTTATTTATTTATTTTTTTTTTTTAATTTTTTTTTCAACATTTATTTTTGGGACAGAGAGAGACAGAGCATGAACAGGGGAGGGGCAGAGAGAGAGAGGGAGACACAGAATCGGAAACAGGCTCCAGGCTCTGAGCCATCAGCCCAGAGCCCGACGCGGGGCTCGAACTCCCGGACCGCGAGATCGTGACCTGGCTGAAGTCGGACGCTCAACCGACTGCGCCACCCAGGCGCCCCCAAACCCCTTATTTAAAACAGAAACACCGCCTTCTTCTCCCCAGCCCAGTCCTCCCCACCTGCCTTCCTGTTTTGTTTTTCCCATAATCCTTAACACCTTCCAAAATAGCTCACAGGTTTACTTCCTTATTTTGTCTACTATCTGCCTCATTCTGTCTATATGCTCTAATGAGGGCAGGGCTTTCTCTGGCTATTTTTTTCCCACCGTGATTTCACTAGCACCTAGAAGCGTACCTGGCCCAGAGTAGGTATTCAACAAGTATGTGTTAAAAAAATGAAGGAGGAAAAAAAAAAAAAAGGAATGAAGGAAGGGCCAAAGAGAAAGGCTCTGAGGAAGAAACTCAAATAAAGGTGTCTTCTCCTTAGGGTCCCTTTACAGATATCTTTTCTGATTGTAGTTATTCCTAGAATGCAATCGAATGGGGTGGATATGATCCCTACCTTACAAAAAACTAAAATTAGAATTAAAGCAATTAGACCTGTAAGCAGAGCAAAAAATTGGTTAAGCAAAAATACTGTTAAACTGGAATTGATTCTTTTTAATTTTCTGTGTAATTATTGTGAGATAAAGTGTATATGGCAGATGTTTCCAACAGTATCTGGGAGACCTAACAGAAACATGGATGGCCATGCATTAATCACACCAAGGCCTAATGTATCAGGCCAGGAAACTATTTTCCACCTACCAAAACTATCCAAGCCGAGATATGAAACTTCAGCAAGCCCCAGATATAACAACGTTAATCACTGCCTGAATTCAGATTCCCCATAGGTCAAATCACGTTCTGAGAAAGGTTCCATAGAAGTCTAGTGGAAATCGGCCTATAGCTCAGGTGTCAGTAGGGTCCTCCCACCCCACTTCCCAAGGCCTCCGCCTTATAACCACACATGGCATCACTGTGGAGCTGTTCTCTATAAAGGTCAAAGTGCAATTCAAATATAAGCATGGACGATGACGGTCCATGGTGCTCAGAAAATGACCCAACTGGCCGATTCCTCTCCAAACACAAGAGTAATGATGAAGCGGAGAATACATACTAATAATGTTGCATGCGTGCTCTGCTCCTCTATGTTTCCTTTTTATCCAGAAAAACCACATTTATGAAGGCAGGCTCTTTTAGTAATAAAAGTGGTGTTTATTAAACACATCAGAGTCTACAAATCCAAATGAGCAGTTCCCTACAAAATAGTCACTTGGGGAGGCTATGTGATGACCTCAGTGAGGCTGTGATTGCTTCAAACATTTTGGGAATTCCTCTTTTAAAATCACCTTCCTAGCTGTGAAAACTCACAAGAAAACCAGTATCATTCTTTTATGGCTGCACTTTACATAACAAAAATGCCACATTTCAATCCCAGTAGTGTTAGTTGGTCGGAGTAATGGGTAACAAACTGGTTGACCATCAGAATCTCCCAGTTTGCCAGACTGGCCCTGATTCACCATGCAGTAGGTCAGGGCTGGGAATTGGGATTCTGTGGTTGAGTAACAATCTCAGGTGATTCTGATGCATCCAATTTTCTTTGTGAACTGTGGGTGTATGTGCCTTGCTGCTAGGACACGGTTTGGCATCTGAACCACGGCCTGAGCCAATTAACTTTCCTCTACAGCCATGACGCCAAAACCTCTAACATCCAATTACTCATTCTCTTCCCCAACAACTACTGACCCCTTCCTATTTGTTCTACAAAGAGGAACTGTTGGCAAGAGAAAGCCCCAAATGAAAGAGTGTGAATGGTTAGGTCAAAAACATCCATGTTGGACACATCCTCTTTCTCGCCATTCTTTTTTGACCAACTTCATGGCTTCAACCTCTGCTTTGGAGACAGTCCAAAAGAGAATAAAAGTATAGGCAACAGAATAAAATTGCCTGGAGTCAAACTCTTGCTTGATCACTTAATCAGGTGAACTGGGACAAGTAACTTACCTGCTCTGTGCCTCAGTGTTCCTCATCTGAGATGTAACTAATCTGAGTACCTATATCCTAGGAATGCTGAGAGGATTGTGTGATATAATATACACTAAATATTCAGCACAGCACTCATAGTTTTCAGAAAATATTAACTATTATTTTTTAACTGTTTTTAGTACTTATGTGCTAATCATTCCTAAATTATAAATTCTAGATCTGAAATCCCAACCTCTTATTGTTTACCATTAATATATACATACCCATCACCATTTCAAACTTATCAGATAAAAACTTAAATTAAATATTGGCCTAACTTTTCAAATTTATTCTAGCATATTTGTTCTAATTTTGAGTCAATCTACCATTATCCATAGACTCATTAGGTACCAAACCAAATTTATCTCAGATTTTTTTCTTCTACCTTACGCTACCTCCCATGCCAACAAATACACATACACCCACCTGCACATTCACTTAGTTATAAAGTCTTCTTGATTTTACCTCAATGATTTTTCTTTCCACTTAGTGCGCATGTGTGTGTGTGTGTGTGTGTGTGTGTGTCTGTGTGTATTTTAAACTATTGTTTATTACTATAGTAACTATTGTTACTACATGCCAGGTCTAAACCCTGTAGAAGCATTAATTCACATAAGTCTTACAGTAGCCTCATGAATTAAGTGCTATTATGATTTCCATTTTTAAAGATGTAAAACAAAGGTACAAATCAGTTAGGAAACTTGCTGAGGTTCAATGAGCAAGTAACTCTAGGAAAGGGGAGTCAATGTTGGCAGCATGGCACAGGGCTGTGCTCTTTACTACTACCTAGGACTACTGCTAATATTTTAAAAATAATAATATGTGTTGACTTCTCAGCACAATATGCCATCACAACAACCCTATGAAGTATACAGTGTTAACACTCCTCCTTTGTAGATGAGGATACGGGGACCCACAGAGTATGACCTGCCACTTCTCTAGTTTGGGCCCCCTTGTGCATTTCCTGGGCTAATGAAATTACCTCCCATCAATTTTCTGCACTGCCTAGTTGAAATAGTACTGGGAAAATTGGATATTCACATGCAAAAGAATAAAACTAGACGCCTAGCTTACCTCATTCACAAAAAATAACTCAAAGTGAATTAAAGACTTCAAAGTAAGACCTGAAACCATAAAACTCCCAGGAGAAAACATAGGGAAAAATCTCCTTGACATTGGTCTCAGCAACAATTATATGGATATGACACCCCAAAAGCAAAGATAAACAGAACTATATCAAACTAAAAAGCATCTGCAGAGCAAGAATAAACAAAATGAAAAGGCAACCTATGAAATAGAGGAAGATATTTGCAAACCACATACCTGATAAGGGTTAATATGCAAAATATATGAGAAACTCATACAACTCAATAGATAAAATCAAAGAAGCCAATGTAAAAATGGACAAAGATCTAAACTGACATTTTTCTAAGAAGATATTCAAATGACCAACAGATACATGAAAAGAAGCACAACGTGACTAATCATTACAGAAATGCAAACCAAACCACAGTGAGATATCACCTCGCACTTGTTAGAATGGCTATCATCAAAGAGACAAGAGGTAACAGTCTGGCAAGGAAGCAGGTAAAAAGGAACCCTTGCACACTGTTGGTAGGAACACAAAGTGATACAGCCACTATGGCAAACAGTATGAAGGTTCCTTTAAAAATTAAAAATAGAACTACCATACGATCTAGCAATTCCACTTTTGGGTATATATCTGAAGGAAGTGAAATCACCATCTCAAGGAGGTATCTGCACCCCCATGTTCCCTGTAGCATTATTTACAATAACCAAGACATAGAAATAATCTAAGTCTTCATCAGTGGATAAATGGATAAAGAAAATGTGACTGATTTTATGGATACAGGAAATTCTACCTTTTGCAACCACATGGATGAACCTGGAAAGCATTGTGCTAAGTGAAACACAGAGAAAGACAAATACTATATGATCTCACTTATATATGGGGAATATAAAAATGTGTAACTCATAGAAACAGAGACCCAGATTGGTGGTTGCCAGGGCTGAGGAAATGGGTGAAGACGGTCTAAGGATACAAACTTCCAGTTGTAAGATGAGTAAGTTGGAGGGATGTAATATACAACATGGTGACTATCACTAACAATACAGTATTGTATACAGTAAAACCTTGGTTTGTGAGCATAAGTCGTTCCAGAAACATGCTTGTCATCCAAAGCACTTGCCTATCAAAGCGAATTTCAAGAACCATTGGCTCAGTTGTGATCTTGTGACACGCGGCATCATGTACTACTGTTACCGCAACATGTTGCTCATTTATCAAATTAAAACTTAGTAGAAATGTTTGCTCATTTTGCGGAACACTCACAGAACAAGTTACTCACAATCCAAGGTTTTACTGTATTTGAAAGTTGCTAAGAGACTAGATCTTAAAAGTTATCACCAACACAAGAAAGAAAGAAAGAAAGAAAGAAAGAAAGAAAGAAAGAAAGAAAG